CCCACGGAGAGGCAGAAGCCAATCCACGACCGACAGAACGACCAGGATCCGCGCGTTAGGCCACAGCTAATCGGCGCCCAGCAGGACAGACAGGATGCGCGCGTAACCCACGCGTATAATACGAGACAACCGGCAAGACGGAACAAATCACTGCAATCAGGAAAACCAACCCCACCGCTCTGATGATGGAATCAAGCATGTTTTCGAAACGTCAGCACCAATACAGTGTGGTCCATGAAGGCGCGTATTTTCTTAATCTTCTTTGGGGTATGGGGAACGGAATAATTTATCTGTACCTGAAATCTTCAGTCATGTTAATACTTATATATTAGCTTTTTAATTATCATCTGAAATTAATTCTCAAACGTTCAGAAGGTGAGTAGCTTTAGGGGCATTATGCGTAGACCAAAGTTTTATCTACCCTCAGTCGAAAAAGGAGTTTCTGCGGAAATTAAAAGCTACCATATTTTACGTTTAGTATCTATCAGATGGCAATCAGAGCACACTGGGGAACCCTCTGATGATCCAGACTCCTCACATTTGTGATGGAAACAAGAATGTTTTCGAAACGTCAGCACCAATACAGTGTGGTCCATGAAGGCGCCTTATTTTCTTCGTCTTCTTTGGGGGATGAGGAACAGGGGATATAAAGATGTATATGTGTGAACCAGGCGTTTTCGTTCCTGTTCACATTAGATTACCACTGACACTTCCATATTTTTCTACCTTTTGCATGGATTTCTAGGTTTCGTTGCCAACTACTCAATTTTGAAATATCTGATACATAAATAGGTATATTTCCGTTTCCTTTCCCCACCTACAGTTCTTCTTCGCTGTGGTGCTTGTAGCCCTAGCGATTGATGCCTTCTTCCTCTTCCGCGCAAGCAAAGGCACAGGTAGCCAGCCCAGGATGGGTAGTCCCCACCCGACTGACACCGCTGAACAACCGGAGCCGTTTAAGATGGAAATCTAGTAAGACCTTCTGCTGTTGATCTTCTCCGAAACTGATTCATCTATTCTATTAAGTCATAGGATTCGGTAGCTAGATATGCATGGCACTACATTATGGCGAGTGCTGTAAGCAAAATGCCGACCTATGCGGAAGACTGGTAATCACTCCCAAACCAACATTAAGTAGGGCTGCAAAAGTGATTATCGTGCAGTCTACTACCAAGTATTTTCAGTCACACCAGGATGTAGGCTATTTACTGAACTTCTTTTCAACCTCTTATGAAAAGTGGATTATGAAAAAATGGCTACTCAAAAAGTTGGTGTATTTATCATGGATTTTGACTGCCTGCATACACTTTAATATTTTTTTATAGAATAAATGCATGATCATATTTTTTCTTGTACACGTTTGGTAGGAAAATACGCCTTATGTAAAGTTGACACTTAAAGAAAGTGTATCTTTCGGTTTAAAAGGGGTTTCTAAATTGACGAATAATTTTTAAACATGCTGAGCGCTACATGTGAATTCAAGGTTTCGAATCTGTATGCTGTGTACAACAAGTTAGAGGACTAGTACGTTTAAGCGTACAGTTTGAGAAAGAAGTTAAATCTAAATTGCAATAGATGTGGATCATGCTGCTTACATTATAGGCAGTATTAAATAATTGGCCGTTATGATGTGTTATGAATGATTACCTCACAGTCGTAAGAAAGTTCATAATTAGAAATTTTTCCACATCCGAGCAAAACTTTCTCGTTAAGTGTAAAATTTACAGAAGGCGTAATTTTCTATCAAATATGTACAAGAAATTATATTTTCGTGCATGTTTTCTATAAAATACTAGCGCGGAAGCCCGGCTTCGCCTTGGCTTCCTAACCCGTTGTTGTCCCTTTAGGAAGGAAAAAGTTAAGTGTCCTCTACCGTAAAACCTTTTGAAACAATTATTACGGACGTAGGATAAGCAAGCATTAATGAAGAGCGGTATGGAAAGACGGAGAACTGTAATTGTGGCAACGAAGAAAGTTACGAACGTAATCATTAAGGGAAAATGTGGTAGACGTCAAAGGGGAACAGTAAGGAGGACACACGTAAAAGTAATAATTGGAAGGACGGAGGTAGGGTATAATGCCAAGGGAGGAGCAAAAAAAGGAGCCGAATTTTGAGTGACTGAGGAATTACAGGAGGGACGGTTATAAGGAGGATATTAGTAGGAACCGTAACCAAGTGGTAGATATAACCGTCAGACCAAAGCTTCACGGTATACAACATTCTTCGAAAGCCCGTTGGGTGCCCAGACGTATAAATTCTCTTTTGAACCAACTCGAGATATGGCAACGTAGAGTTGGCCGTGGGAAAAACAC